TTATTTATGGATTGTGATAAGAGTTGTATGAGCCCCTAATAAAATGATTAAAAAAAAGATTATGCCCTATTTATCCACATACAGTCAAACGAACCTACAAATAAACCATAAAGGAACTGACTGATTGGATATGCTTTGGGAACTGGAGATTTTAATCCATAAAGTAGAAGTGGTTCAATATAAAAGATGGCTGGAAGATATTTTAACTACTGCTTCCACTTGTAAATTCAGGATTTGGCAGAAGCCATGACAAAACTACAGCTTCTAATAAGGTATGTAGTTACTAGGGTCTATAAACAACAGGAAAGGTTAAGACAAAATGAAGGCTGACTGGCAATTCACATACTGGAAAATACTAAAATAAAAACGTAAAAAGATGTTTAATATCTCTTTTAGCCAAAGAAATGCAAATTAAAACACTCATAACTCTTTGCCCCCAAATGCTCACAAATACTAACAACACAAGTAAAACCAAACAACCAAACTCACTGCCATCAAGTTGGTGCCAGCTCGGTGAAGCGGTTTGGACAGGGTAGAACTGCCCCTCCCCCCGTGGGTTCCCACGACCGTCTCTCTCAGGGAGTAGAAAGCCCGGGAGCAGCTGTGTTGCAAGGGCTCCTCCACAAATATATGAAGATAGATCGATAGGAGGTTCATAATGGTATGCTTGTTTTTTTCTTTCCCTTTTCGATGTGGGAAAATTTTATTAAGTCCAGGTAAAAACCCCACATAGGAAGAATGATTCAATTAGAAGAACCAGTCTTTTGAAATCCCTCATGAAAGAACTAATTCAGGCAAGGATCCTCATTGGATGCTAAAGTCATCGTGTCAAAGCTGGTCAGGAACAGGTAACTCACACACCGCGCCAAGGTGTCCGCTCACTGGTCACTAACCGCTTGGCAGGTGCAGTGGGAACAATGCACCTTTATAATGGAGACACTTGGTTTTCCCTACTCAGGAGCACAGTGGGGCCACACCTGGTACTGAATTACTGTATGTCCCCCAGCCTTCCGGCTATTCGAAGGACACAATCTCATTGAAACAAGCTTAGCTAGTTACAATTTATAGTGATTTTTTTTTCTAAAGATAGACAAAGTTAATGACAAATCAAAAAAGCCCACCCAGGTTGTGCCTCACAGTGACCCTCTCAAGACAGACTGAAACTGCCCAGAGGGTTTCCAAGGCTGTCAATGTTTACCCAAGCGAAGCGCCACATCTTTCGCCAGTCGAGTGACCGGTGAGTTTAAAGCGCCGAACTTGTGGTTAACAGCTGAGCCTTTCAGCACTCACCACCAGCACTCCCTAACTTAAGTAATGGCAGCAACCACAAGAACAAAATTCAACCGAGAATCAGCTCACTCCAGACTATGGAACATTCTCCATGAAAACCAGTCCGGTTTGTCACGTGTGGACATAAAAACCAAGTCGAAGAGCTGTCCTAAATAAGAAGAGGCTAAAGAAAAACACTTGGGGAAAATCTAAATATGGACACATTAATATGATGTTATGGAATTATGGTTAATTTTTAAAATCGAAACTTAAATAGCAGATTCATTTGACAATTCGCACAGCAATGGCTCGGTGTCGATGGCTACATTCAGCACAGTGTGTCAGCACCCTCTGTCATTGTGTCAGTGTGCCCCCTTTCTAGGACCCGCTCCCTGCTCCCTATCTTCCATCTTGGCTTCTAAGTAGAGACTTTTTGTTCCCCTACTGATGGTTTTAACCAGGGCATTGATCTTACAGTGAATAATCTCTGTGACTCGTTTTATGTGCCACTCTGCTATTTCACTTAGTGTGATCTCGGGGTAGGCTTGGTTCTAGAATTAACCACGTTGTTGGTAAATTGTTCTGTTGTTGTGATCCTGCCTCATTAACCTAACTGCAACAAATTTTGCCTCATCAACATCTTAGAGGTTAGGATTCACAAAATGACATCACATCAGCGTGGAGGATGTTACAAAATGCTGAGAATCGTGGCCCAGCCAACTTTGCAGATACTGGAGGTATTTAATTCAGTCCATAACACTGAGGAACCAAGATGACAAAACAGCCACCCAAAAATGGCCCTAGAGCTTTGTGACTTCCCAAATTCTTTCTCTTTGATGGGTGAGGATTTTATAGATAGGCTGCAGACCCTGGCTCCTTACTTAGGACACTCACCCTCCTGCAAGGATTCTACAGAGGCTCTGCAGGGTACAAACCACCAATCAGAGTGCTGACAGCTCATAAGCAACTCAGGTTCCCCAAACTAAAAATTATGATTCTCATGCATAATGACCGAAAACAGTATGTGAAAAATAATTCTACTAATCAGTGTCTCCATAAAATGGAACCAATCATTATGGATTTTTCTTTATGCAAATATCAAACACATAAAAAGGCACCACTAATTTCTGTCACAAATGAAAACCACAGGCACCTGACACTTTCATTCCTCCCTCTTGCTCAACATACAGATAAAAGCAGATACAAGATATAAACTTATCAATTGCATATAAAATCACAGTATGTTTGTTACTCACCTCTCTAATATATGATTATTTTCAGCAAGTTCTTTAACCACACCTTCCATCTCTTCCTTTAATTTCTTCATACTATACACATAAAATAAACAAATAAGCACCTCTGCTCACAACAAGCACGTAACTGTGT